TATGCAGCATGTAACTAAAAGTTGAAACAGATAATAAAAGAAGAAATCTGAAAAAAGGCAAAAAAAGGTGAAAGCGTGACACATTTTTTGCTAAAACAAATACTGAATTATTCCCACATTAATTAGGGAAATTTGATAAAATTAAGAGCTCCCGTGTTAAAAGGGTATGCATTTCCGAGCCAACATTTATATGCATTTCTCTTTTCAGAGCCTAAGATTAATGGTATGCCTTTAAATTAAGGATTTCCTATTAAATCAATTCATATCCCAACAAATCAATTTTACAAGTCAATTAAGAGTGGAAGTGAATTCAACTCCTTCCCTTTTTCTTTTCAATAAATTTGATTATTTACAAATTTTTTATGAGCCGGCATAATCATTAATTAATTAATTAATTAATTAATTAATTAATTAATTAACAGTGTGTAGTCCGGAGTCTGGACCATATCCATTACATTGACCAACACAATTACAAGAATATTCTCATATAATTTGGAGGACATAATTGGGTACTACAAATAATATGTATGTGGTAATTAGTGTTATGTTGCACATATCCTACTCTCATAGAATAGATAAATTTTAGACAAAATTGTCAAATCTTTACTAATTTGATCGTTAAGCGTTGAAGTTAACAACACTCTTAACTTCGTAGGTAATTATAATTTAGGTGGATTGAGAAAAAAGAGGAAAGCTTAAGAATAAAATTGCACAAATAGTTGCACAAAAAGATCAAAAACTCTTGATTTAACAAAATTTGAAAGAAAAAAGAGAGTAAAAATTGCAAACAGCTCATAGTTATGGCATTAGATATACCAGTATGTATCCCGTGCGATGCACGGGACAGAAATATTAAATGAGTTATTTTCATAATCTTTGTCCGTTTAAGTATATACAGAAATAAAGTTATCATCTATTTTCGACCTCTTTTAATTAGCGTTAAGTGTAATAAACAATAAAGTTACAATCTGTTTTGCACCTCTTTTAATAATCGTTATTTTTTTAGTCAAAATATTAAATATGAGCATGTTATGGTTAGCTTGTAAAATAATTAATATATTATCTCACTAACACATTTATACTAATATAAATTTGATTTTAGTATATATATATTTATTCTTTGATATAAGAGGGAATAACAATTTTACTTATTCTTGTTCACCATATACTACTTCATTATTATTTTTATTATAAACTTTGTTGTCATGTAATGTCATTATTATTTATAAAGTTATAGAAATTGTACGTCTTTTTTTTTATGTAATGAAAAATATTTAATGCACGTTAGTATTATTTATTTATGTAATCAATTTAAAATATATAAATAAATTTAAAATTAAATAGTGTATAAATATTTTACAAAATATACACATGTTTTTTCAGAATTTAATTTTGTATACTAATTAAACAGCTTTGATCTAGAAAATGTCAAAAACTCAATCCCTTCTATGATCAAGATTTTTCTAATTCGCATTATAAGGATTTATAGTTAATTTAGCATACTCTGCAATGAAAATATATTTTACAAGAATTTAATTGTAGAAATAAATCAAAATAAAAAAAAATAATCATGGGTGCCAATAATATACAAATAAATTCTAAAAGGAGTTAACATATTTCAATTTTAATTTTTTACAATTAGTAAAACTATTTAATGTATCTGGTCATTATTTCTTAAATGGTAAATTATATTAATTTGAAGAACAATTTATTTTTTATATTTAACAAAATAAAGCTTAAGAGAAAAAAATATTGGCAAAGATTAATTCACCAACTTGATTTTGTCTGATTACCTGGAAAAAAAAATTATATCTAACCTGTTACGATATTTCATAAATATTTTTGGAAAAATAAATTAATATTATGGTTAGAACTTAAAATATGATGTATTTTTTATCTTGACAAAAATAGTATCAACATGGATCATGGAAATTGATCTTGTAATTTATTATAATGAATATCAATAAAAGGATTACAAATATTAATATATATGGAAGCAATTAATGCATATATTTAAAAAGTTTTCAAAAATAATATGTATTAAATGATTCCTAATTTTTTTACTATTATTTTTAGTAAATGATAATTCTTATTGTATATATATATATAGATTGACAGTTGTAAGAATAGGCGATAAAATCACTAGTGATATTCTAACACCAAGACCGGAAAGGTAATGAATTAATAGATCAACTTTTAGATATTGTATTTCTAATTGAATTGAAGATGACTAGAAAAGCTGCTAGCAGTCTATACATAATATTGACGTCATTTGTTTATTATAAATTTATTGAAATTACAAACTGAAATAGTATATACTTTATCTGTTTTTGAAACATGTGATTTGCATAAATAGTTTTAAAAATAAAAATAGTGTGTGGCAGAGTACGTATTTAAATTAAACTTTGCCTGTGATGTATAATGAAGACATGAGCCTCAACTCAAACCTGCCACATTTTTGCACTTGAAAAACTTGTTATCTGGCTACCCAGCTGGAATTCGTCTAATATAATATGATTTCATAGTAAAATTACAGGCCAAAATTTGACATATTTTCTATTTCTCATCCACTGATAAAAAAATTACACTATTTATCTATTTTATTTTATTTTTTTCACTTTACTCTACTCTTATTTTTTAATATAATTTTTAAATAAAAAATTTAATGATTACTACCTACGAGCAAATGATGAAAATTTTAACGGAAATATATCTCAATAGAATTTTAATGGCAATTCCTACATATCGATATTCCATTAATACTATTATTTCCATTGGAATTTTTCAATAAATTTCAACGGATAAAAATATGTCGTTGGAATGAGTTTTTTTTTTGGAATTTTTGCTGGACTTTGACGATTTCAATGGCAGATATTCCAATGACTGAAATATGGATGAAAATAAAAGTTACAACAGAACTTGCATATTCCAACGGGAATCTTATAGTAAAAAATTGTTGAAAAAATAGTCGTTGGAATCACGAAATTCCATATAAAACATGAAATTCCATATGAAATTATATTACGGTAGAATATACTGTTGGAATATGACAATTTTTTTTGTAACGTAACATTTACATATAAAATCTATTATTCACTCCCATATTTATCACTATCAATAACCATTTTACTATTTCTCCACCACATCACAATTAATCATTATTTTCTATAACACAGTACTTTACACTACAATAATCATTAATTTTTCCGGTTTCTTTCATTACAATAATCATTAGTTTTTCCATTAAATTCCTTTCATCAATTAAAAAAAAAATTCATTGAAATAAAACTATACCCATTGGCCTCCTTACTTTCTTTTCTTTTATTGTCCTCAATTTGGTCTGCTTGTGGCAAAAATTGTCCTCAAATTCGTCAAGTTCAATAACTATTGGACTATATTCATTAATTTAATTTCAATTAAACTAATTTTGATAAACCCACAACTAGGGACTACTTTTAAATTTCATTTTTATTTTTCTCATAATTAATTGTCTTGGGTTGTATTGAATGCCATGTCATAAGTTTTATTAACAAGCAACAATAAGTTCATAGCATCAGTTTTCAGTCTTAGATTGGTCTCCAAATCTAAAACAAATTATTCATTATCCAAGCTAGTTGTTTTGTTTTCATTTTCCTTTTTCTTTCTTTTTATATTATAAAATAAATGGTGCTGCCTTATGACCATCAAATGACGATGTTATTGTAATGTAATAATAACTTCCTTTTTCCTGCCTCAATTGACTATAGAAATATGTTATTGTAATGTAATAGTAATAACTTCCTTTTTCCTGCCTCAACTGACTATATTAAATTTCTACAGTTAATTTACTCTCTCCTCTGTTGCCTATCACTCGTATGTGCATTTAGTTCAATCAATGTGCCTGTAAAAAATAATAATAAAAAAAGATAGTCTGGAACAGCCAATCTACAGCTAAATGAGTGGACACGAGATCATTAATTTATTTATAGCCCGGGGGAGTTAAAAGAAATGAACAAAAAAGG